TAACATATCTATCTATAATATGTGTGTATATATAATATATATAATCTTTTATATATTGCATCATTAATACAAATGAGTGAATAATATCAGACAGGACCCTATGGAACATCAAGTGCTATATTTTTCCAGCTTAATGCTGAAAGACGGGGAGCATTTTTCTGAAGAGTCTAATCAGCTTTCTAGAATTTCACACTTCAAATGAGGCCGTTTTCTTGTGTTTTGCTTTTAAAATACCATGTCAAAGCAGTTGTTTCTCTCTTATTCTGGAGCTCATTATATTTCAATAAAATTGTTTCAAAAGTGCGTGTTATTAACAAATTTTTATTGGTAGTTGAAAACCTAGGTCTAGATTTTTTTTAAATTCCCTATTTAACTCAATGATTATCCCTCTTCTGTGAAGCCTGATGGAAAACGACATTGTGTATTTCAGTTTTCCTTAGATTTACTATTTGCTCATTCTTCCATTAAATAACGAACTGAACTTTCTTTCCCTTTCTAGTAGGGGTTTTATGAGGCTTTAGCAGTCTAACTTATTGTGTTCCTCTGTTCTTTTTCACATATATCTGTGCTTTTACATTTAATCATAGCAAAATATTCTCCCTTTCTATTCTTGTTAATTTTTCTGTTTAAAGAACTCCTGATAAGGTCATAACAGCCTTTTACTATGCTCCCTGGTTTCCCACTGCACTGGCATAATTTGTCACTATGTGTCCTCTTATTAGTTCTCAAATATAATAATAATTTATCATTCTGATTGTTCAAGCTATTTTATAAAGATTCTGCAAAAAAAATTCATTTATTCCTACACAGCTTTTCAAAATGTGTATTTTCAGACAAAACCTGCTCTCCTGAACTCTGGGACTGCACTTAACAAAACTTTTTGAGTATCAAAGTGAGTTGATCTTAAAATTCACATCAATTCTATTGTATAAGTTGACAACTTTGCCTAAAATTACAAAATTCTGTTTTGCAACTAAGACCGAACCAGTTTCTTCTTTTGTATTAGCAAACAACTCCTCGCTAGTCAGAAACAAACCTAAAATAGTCACTCTCAAATTACGTCCACCACGAGACAGTATCCTTCCTCACTTGTAGGAACAATTTGCACCCTGCCAGAGCATCTTCTGCAGGTATTACAAAAAGAACATCTGTTCAAGATGGATATTAAAGGAAGAGAGCTTTTGTCCAGTCCAACAGTTTCCCTTTCAGGGCAACTCATTTGTCACCTAACATGTCACAGTTTACATTTCTAAAATGCTCTCCACTACCCTTCACTCACAGAAAATTATCAAGTCTTGGTAGCAGCCAGCATTTCTTGGGAAGGAATAAGAGTTCTGTGCTTCATTATTCTTAAGAATGAAGCTAGAAGCAAAAATGGCTGCATAAGACATTCTGGAGAAATTCAAGTTCTGACCATTAACTCTCATTTCTAATACTGCAATGACTGAGGCTACTGTGTGAGTCTACATAACAATTCTCGTACACATTACACAATATCAAACATGTAGGGAATGTCACAAGTCTTCTTTTCCCACTAGCCCACTGATCACATCTATTTCTTGTCATTAAATATGTGAGATTTAGAATCCAATACTAAGCATAAGAAAAAACAGCAGCACAGAACAGAATAGGCTGGTGCACAGGCTGGAAAGAAAAAATAATTCTGATGAAGTAACAGACATCTCTAAAAGTTCCTTCACAGTTAATTGAGTTGTTAAATTAGTTTTGAAACTGAGCTTTGGATTAATAAAAGGTCCTGGTTAAATCATAGAATCACAGAATCATAGGATGGCCTAGGCTGGAAGGGACCTTAGAGATCATCTCGTCCAACCTCCCTGTCACGGGCAGGGACGCCTCTCAACTAGATCAGGCTACTCAAGGCTCCGTCCAACTCAGCCTTGAACACCTCCAGGGAGGGGGCAGCCACAACGTCTCTGGGCAATTTATTCCAAAGTCTTGCCACCCTCGTACTGAAGAATTTCCTCCTAAGGTCCAATCTAAATCTATTCTCCTTCAGCTTAAACCCATTTCCCCTTGTCCTATCAGTGGACACTTTTGTAAAAAGCCCCTCCCCAGCCTTCCTGTAGGTTCCCTTCAGGTATTGGAAGGCAGCTATTAGGTCCCCCCCGAAGTCTTCTCTTTTCCAGACTGAACAGTTGTAGCTCCCTCAGCCTGTCCTCGTAGCAGAGGGGCTCCAGCCCCTGGATCACCCTTGTGGCCTCCTCTGAACACGCTCCAACAGATCCACGTCCCTCTTATGGTGGGGGCACCAAAATTGGATGCAGTATTTGAGGTGGGGTCTCACAAGAGCAGAGTAAAGGGGGAGAATCATCTCTCTTGATCTGCTGGCCACACTCCTCTTGATACATCTCTGGATGAGGTTGGCCTTCTGGGCTGCATGAGCGCACTGCCGGCTCATGTTGAGCTTCTCATCTATCAACACCCCCAAATCCTTCTCTTCAGGGCTAATAAATTAATCTAACGTGAATAAAATATGTTTCTAGGTTTGGCCTTAGAATGAAAACCTGTTTTATACGTGGGCTGTTGGGAACCAGTATAAATGTCAACATAAAGATTTGTCTAACCAAATGAAACAACAGAAATTTAATATTAACTCAGTTCTTTCTAAAGTGCCAGCATTGTAAGCATGAAAAATAAACGCACAACATGGAAAAAGAACATCACCACCACTCAGCAGATTTAAATTTACGCTTTATGATGCACTTTCATCAAAATTTGTAGTTGCCAGGTATCAAATTTCATTCATGCAACATCAATCCACTAAGAAATACATATTTTGGTGACAAAATTAAATTCCATATTTATGTAAAAACAGTTCTGAAACAAAAATAAAACAAGATTTATTTTTACAAAAATTTTTTTTTTTTTTTTTACCAACAGAATGATTATCTGGAAAAAGTAATTTCTCACATGAGATAGTTAACGGAAGTTAAATATATTTAAAAATGGAAGATTCTGCATTTACATAGTTATATGCCATTAATATCGAAGATATACCTTCTAGCAAAAAACCTCTCATGCTTAAAAAATGCACCATAGTTTTATACTGTACATTACAACATACAGTAGTAAGAAACGGAAGTAGTAAACAGGTTATATGCAAAGAAAAAACATTACAAGACAGTTACAACTGTGACACAAAAAAAATTAAAATGTTCTGTTTTAACAGTATTTGAAGGCAATTCACAATCATTTCAGGAGTTTTGTGAAATTTAAGGCCATTAGTTCTAAACAAAATGTATCTAACAAACTCACAAAACTGTGTATTTTGTAAAAACTGTACATGCAAAACCATTTTATAATTATATATGAACAGGCATATAATAAAATTTTTGGGTAGTTCCGTACACAAAATTGTGCACAAAGCAACATGGTTGTGCAATTTTAAGACCAGTTAATTACCATTATCATTCATGCACCTTGAATGGAAATGTGATTAAATGACAATATCAAACCCAAATATTAAGAGCCAGCATCCCTTTGAATGGGTAATCTAGACAAAAAAAGTTAAAATTTTAAATGAAGCTTAAAATGGTCCATTATAAAACATCTGTTGTAATCACTCCAGAAGACTTTTCTGATGCAAAATATCCAGTGCTTTAAGGAATGCATGATAAGATTTAATGAGCTCAGTGAGTCAACTATAAAACTCTTGATAGTTCTGATTTGAGGTAATTTTCTTTAATTACTTACAGCAAGTAAGTCTTCCAATTTGCTTCAGTAACTAGTTAAAAAACCTGTAAACTTAGATAAACTTAGAAATTGGAGAATCTCTGAAAAAATACACATACCTCCCCCTCGAAGTTTGGAGTAAGTCATATGCAATTATGTTATTCACGTTTTAGGAGTTCATTCTCAAACTGTGTGAGGCTGTGTTACTGAGCACTGATCGAAGCCATTAGGGTATTGGGAAACATGTATATATTTGTCCTTTTCTTAGCTTTTATTTGTATTTGTCTGGACAAACATTCAAAGAGATATTGCTTCTCTTGTTACCTTGTGACAAACTATTGCAAGCTAGAAGACATGTGAGTCAATATTCCAAACTTTTATTCTTAAGAATAGTTATAAAAGTACTGAAATTTAAAAATAGTAACATGTAAACATTGATATAGAGTAGTAGCATTCCTATACATTTATATACACACGGTATTCAGAGAGGACAGTATCTTCTGAGTTAAAATCCTGACTTGTGCTTTCCCCTTCAATACATACATCAAAAAAGCAGGGTTTTTTTTGTGGGGAAAAGAAAAAAAAGACTCAGAGAAAACATCAACAATTTGCTCTTAGCATTTAAAAGCTTTCCAGTTGCTCATGCAACCACAGGAGAATTTTGGTATGTGAAGCGAATTTTTCTAGCTCCAAGAAGTTATCCAGACTTGTGACAAATGTGAAGCACTTTGGAGCTGTCATATCTGAGTCTGCAACACGTGAATCGGGGGTGTATAGGGTGGTGGTGCAGGTGATGGCTTTATTCCTCTGACTCTCATGTAGGACAGAAACTGCTCTGGGATCTCAGCTAAAACATCTTTAGCCAGTCTCGCCATGCTTAACACATGATTTCCGCTTCTGTCGATGTAATCCCGGAACGGCACAAACTACAAAACAAAAGAGATGTTCATGCAAGCCATAATGGAGGCACAGGATGTACCTCACAACATAAAAATAAGAAAGTTTTACTTAAGGAGTTGGAGTACATAAATACGTTACCTTACACATTATATATATATGTATACACACACACGCACATTTTGTATTTTGTATTATATATTTTATATATACACATTTTATCTCAACTTTTGAAAATCCATCTCCTAATAGAAAGTGTCTTATTTTCAACTTGAGTGAAGTTCTTCACATAAGGCGTGGCTAGCTCAGATTGCCAATTATGTATTTCATTGATATATTTGGTTATTTGGATATATCTTTCAACCCTTTTCACGCAACAAGGTAATTCTGTCTTGGAAAGTTATTCTTCCATTTCCTGCTCCTGGGGCTCTCCTGCCAGACTGTGAAGTTTGTGAATAGAATTTTTGCCAATGGAAGTGAACAAAAAACCAAAGATGACATCTGAGCAATAAATAATGTGAACTTAAGTAATTTTTACAACTTTGGAAATCACTTCTCACCTTGGACTCATAAAACCTATCTAGGCACCAGTCTCCTACTAAAAGGTGTTTAGAATTCAAGGCAGGATTCTTTGCAAAACTCTCCTGAAAAGGATCTCCAAATGCCAGAAAAAAAGGCTTCAAGCCTAGGTATTTGAACTATGTTGAATTAAATTGAAACCTGTAACCAAATTAAGGGTAAACAGCTACTGTTAGGGCATTTCCCCAGGCAGCAGTAGATCTGCAGTTTCTTAGAAAATGACGACAGTCACAAAATTGTTGAAGCTAGGAGTGACCTATAGAGATCTTCAGTCCAACCTTGCTGCTCAAGCAGAGCCAGCGAGGGCAGGTGCCCTAGTCAGCAAGACTACAAGAGTGGTCAGCAAGACCATTCAATTAGAGCAGCCTTTATTCCAGAGAGGAGCATCCTTCACCTCTGCACCCTGTTGTGTCCAAGAATGTATCGGAAATAAGAGCAGGAGAACAACAGGCAAGAAGGAATCTGATTTTAGGGTATTAAGCCAGGAAGGCAGGTATCTGCAGTTCCATAATTAGCTGTCTTGTCTCTTTCTGTGTTTATTCAGTTTCTCCTCAATACAAGAGACAGGCACCCACTGTGACATTTACTAGTACTGACTCCTCCATTTCAGAAAAAAAGCTCCAGCAGTTTTCAGAAACCAGCCCAGCGCTGCCCTGTTTCAAGTGATCGCTCCTTCTTCAACTCCACTGACTTTTCTATGAGAATTCACCCGACTCTTCCCCGAGCATGAAGTCAAAAGAGTAACAAAACCAACCAATCATCTCTGTAACCTCCTGGCTTACACACTCAGCTGGGAAGGGCTAAGTTTCGTTCTCTTTCCCCCTCTCATGTGGTTATCCATTTTTCAATGCAATGTCAGTCTTCGGGAAAAAGCAAACGCAGCCTGAGTTAAAGAACAAAACGTGTCCCACCCTGAGAGATCACCTTACCCTTTAGTCTGCAGCCATGAAAACTCAGCCCACCGCTCTGCAGCAAAGGGAGGCTATTTCAACAGCGCAGAAACGCCATTATACCATACAGACAGCCCGAATTAGTTCTCCCTCCCCTCTCCTGACAGCACGTTGGTGTCGGGGGAGCTGGAGGAACTAGGGACAGACAACCGTACAGACGGACCTACGGGGAGAGCTGGCAGTGGCAGCAAGGCTCAGAGCTAACACATAGAAGCCGTGGAGGTGGCAGAGGAATGGAATGAAGGATGTAAGGGAAAACAAAGGGAAACTGACAGAACGTAAAGCGCTTTTGCATAGTTCGTAAGTTCAGTTTAAGGGCTAACGTGCAAAATCTTCAAAAGAAACAACAGGTTCATTACTAAGTATTTCCCTAAAAATTCTTAAATAGAAAAAGGGTAACACAGGAGGAGAAATGAAATAAACGGAGGAAGAATTGGTACACCCTTCAGACACAGTCCCTACAAGAAGTACCTATGCTACTGAGGAGAAAATAACAAGGGTCATGTCTTTACATGAACTGCAGTCAGGAGTAAATATAATGGATACAATGACTCACTGCTGGCAGGCAATTCTTTCCTTTACTAATTTAATTGAAATATTTCATAATACTGACTTAAAATTAACAGTTAATTTCACTAGCTTATTTTAACTAACTTAATACACAAAAAAAGATAAACTTTTTATATCTGAGTAGTTAAATTTTCTAAAAGCAAATCAGTTTTATCCTGCCAGATTAAAGTAAAGATCATACGAAACCTAAAGGGTTTGACATTATCCGTTTTTATTTATTTAGCTAGCCTAAATGTATTTGTTAGTATTTAGACAGAAAAAACAGAAAACAATACTGCCTTCAGGCAATTCAGTATGGCTTGGGGCAAACTTCCGATTGAAATACGTTAGTAGTAAATGTTTTTTTTTCTATAATTCTAAAGAAATACAAAAGGGTATTTCTTGGATATTAGTTTTGATTTCTCAGCAAAAATAGAATAGTTCTGACCCAAAGCATTTTTACAAATCTTGTTTATAACATTTTAAGAACTCTTATCAATTTATGCTCTTTGAATGTAAAACCAGCAGCTTTTGGAGTTGGTGTTGTTTGGAGACATTATGTCTAATTACGTTGTGTATATTTAAACACATCTAAACATAGGTGCAATGCATGCCACGGAGATCTGAATTAGCTTTTAAAAATTAGCTTTAAAAAAATCTGACATGGTGCAGGGCTTGGCAGAAATACTAGTTTGGGGTCCAGAAACAGATCAAGCTCTGGAGGCAGATCTCCACATACTGCTCTGTTAACAGCACTGACATATATGGCAGAACAAATTACAGACATGTGGACTACCAGTTCGGACTACCAATGGACATTATAAAGGCTTTGACAAAATGAGAAAGGTTATTCCTTCTCTCTCATTTAGCTGTCCAGTTTCTCCTTATTCCTATGTTTATAATTACCTTGTTGACAGCACTGACTAAGGCAGCTAGCATTTCTCACTCTTCTAGGAGTTTTGATATGCCACTCTGTCATCAGTTGTTTTCTCTCTCTGTTGCAGAAATGAAAAACTGTATTTTTCAACTATTAGAAAAAGTACAGGAAACTATGACTTTCTTTAATTTTATATCCATATAGATTACGAGGGTAATTTAACTGCTGTCACTCTCATTTCTGATCCCCATTTAGGAAAAAATTAATAGAGAGGAAATATTAATGTGGTGTTTATAGAACCAGAGAATTGTAGAATCATTTAAATTGGAAAAGACCTTTAAGATCATCAAGCCCAACCACTAACCCAGCAATGCCATGCCCACCACTCAACTATGTCTCTGAGCACTACATCTACACATCTTTTCACAGAATCACAGAATTATTGAGGCTGGAAAGGACCTCTGAGATCATCCAGTCCAGCCTATGTCCCAACATCAGCAGATCGGCCAGACCAGGGCACTAAGTGCCACATCCAGCCTCTCCTTAAACCCCTCCAGGGACGGTGACTCCACCACTTCCC